GGTCATAAGTGTGAGGACCAGTCTTAAATCAATTTTTTCAGCGATGTCATAACTTTGAACGGTCGTTAAACTTATTTATTTATTTATTAAATCTATACGCTGTCCATTTCCCACAAAGGGCGACTCTGGGCAGCTCACAATTAAAATCCAAAACAGTAAAAACAATGAAAATATAAATATCCATATTAAAATTAGCTAATAACAATTCTATATAAAAAGACTATATACAATTCAAGATGATGGGGGGAGCAATATTGATTATCCCACCAGCCAATTCCAACAATGTGAGTCCCCTTCAGGCCCCAAGGCCATCTGGCACAGCCATGTTTTCACACTTTTCTGGTGTGAATGGTCGTAAATCAAGGACTATCTGTATTGTACTAAATTAAAGAAAAATGTGAGACATTATATGAATAGGGACTAATTCTTACTTGGTGCACAAGGTTTAAACAAATGTGTTTTGTATTGTTCAATATCCAGCTTTTGTATTAACAATATAACTACAATGCATTACTAGCACTCTATTCTTTGGATTAAAGCAGGCAAGCAATGTTTATATTGATATATCAGTGTTACTTATTTCTGTTCCACATGATTTATATTTGGATATAAACCATGGCTCTCTAGGAAATAGTTTGCATTTTGTTGTTGATGTTGTTAGAGCAATTATATCCTAGGCAGCATATAATACAGAAAAATGTACATATATAACACAATTTAGAATGACTGTCCTTGAGCTTGATACAAATGGAATAATACATTGCTTTTATTTTCAGTGCAATAAGTAGTTTCCAACCATATTTATATTAAGTAGTTTCCAACAATATTTATATTAAAACTATCATACCATCCTAACAAAGTTGGCAGAATTACTTCTTTGTGCAGAAATAGCATCCATATCTGTCATAAATTTGTCCTTTTCTAATTGGCTTCCATGTTCCTAAAAGAAGAAATAGGTTGTTTTTATCAATTAAAAGTAACATTAGATTGTTCAGCCAAACAAAAGATAGTATCTAAGTAACTATAATTATATTCTCTTTCTTGTAAGATATAGACTCCTGTAGTCTTAAGTAATAAGTACTGTACTTAGCATTTAGAATGGTACATTCTATTCATTTTAGTACAATTATATCTACATTTTCCTATAGAAATCTAATATTTTAGAAGTGAAGTGTTCATGAACCCAGATGCCCAACTGTCAGTCCTGACCAGGTCAAGAAACAGGAACAACTGGGATTTCAAGAATGCTCTTTATTGTTGTTAGGGCTTTATAACAGAATCTTGAAAGCCTGTCAAAGTTTCTCTCTACAGTACTATCACTTATACCTAACAAAAACAAGGTTATTTTGAGTTTCTCATGCTTTCTTATTTTCCAGGACCAAGTAATCTTTTCTGAAACTCCTCCCCATCCCCAGAGTCAGATCTGCATTCCATCACACCAATAGGAGCTACTGTTTATCAGGGCAATAAAAATGTTAGCACTGCCCAACCAAAGCAGATATTAACTCTCATTCATATCTAATGGCTAACTCTGGATGTCAACAGATGGATAAACGAAACAGCTATTTTAAAAAGATTTAGAAGGAAGAGCCTCCCCACCCACAGAACAATGCTTTGACAGCAGTCACAGTTTTTCTTTATTTGCATTTGAAGTTTCATGATAAATTATGATTCTGAAGTGGTAAGAGAGATGTATGGTTTGCAGTATTCACTGAGGGAAGATCTAAGAGGTGACAGGGAACATTCTGAGAACAGGCTGTGTTAGAAAGTTGGTAAAAAGTATGGTTGATTAATGTGAAATTCTGAAATTATTTTTAGGAGGAAGGTAACATCTGGGCTTTTCAGGATGGAACTGGAGGTTCACTTCAGAGCTCACTAAGCCTACAAGACATACTGATGGCCACTAGAAAACTATGAGACAACAGATGCAAATCAGAAAATATACATGGCTTGTCTATTAGGACTTAATAAGCTCTATCAGAATGAAGGTGCACAATAGAAGAGAATGTATGTAGATCAGGTTGAACAATGGAGTTCTTAGTGCTCCCTGAGCTTGGTTGTTTGTGTGCAGATGTTTCATTACATCAGGAATGTCAATGCTTGATGATGTTACCTAGCTGGGTAATGAAATGTCTGCAAGCAAACAACCAAGCTCAGAAAGCACTAAAAACTCCAAAGGTGCACAAACTGGTTGGCCAAAGGGCACTGTTTCCCTGCTTCCATTTTTATTTCTGCAATGGTAGATGGTGAAAAGCTCTTCTCCCTTCCACACTTCTCTACCATTCCCTCCTCCTGCCTGAAGATCACAGGAAGGAGGGACATCTCCATTTTATTTAATAACATTTATATACTGCCCCAATCTAAACAATTTCATAAACAATGAAAACCATTAAAACTCTAAGTAATCATCGTGTAAATTAGATAACTGCCTATGGTTCTTCCCTAAGACCAAAAGTCCTCTGAAACAAAAGAGTTTTTAATGTCTTACATAACATCAAGATGGCCAAGCCCAGGTATACCTCTAGTTGCAGCCTGTTTCTTAATGTGAAGATCACTCAGAGAAGGCCTGCCTTCTAACCCACACCACTTTTACTTCCCATGGAAGTTGGGATCTTGAGTAGACCCTGTCTAGATGTTAGGACAGGATGGGCAATATTATATTTAATAAGGCAATCCCTTATTATCCCAATGCCATACCATACAGGCCTTTTGTGAGATCCAGTTCTTATATTATCGTAGACAAACAAGACTGATGCCAGATTTTGTAAAATTAAACTTCAATATTTGTTGTTAAATTAAAATACCTGAAAAATTGTGTCAGGAATTTCTTTGTCAAAGAGAGGAATTTGCTGAAAAGAGTAGAAGCCCAACTGTCCTAAGTTCCTAAGCTGCAATAGCCGGAAACGTTTGCAATTTTGAATATCTTCTGCAGTAACAAAGTTAAATTCTTCTTGCAGTTGTTCCAGGCGAAAGTGTTTTGAATCATTTTTTTCCTGAGATTGTGCATACTATTAGAGAATATTAAATATAAGTTGGGACAATTCTGCTAAGTACAACAATTAAATACAAAACCTTTACTGCTCTGAACACTGTGTTCATATCCTGAAGAGGAAAAAATGTAACTAAATCTGCAAAGCTTTCGCCTTTCAGAAAGAAGAGATGCATGGATCTTATGGATCTATTTAATTTGATCTCTAAAATCTCTGTCAGACATGACTGACTTTTTTTTAGAAGGTTTCTAATTTGATGAAAACTTGTACCTCCAGATATCTCAGTTAAACTTGATACTTCATGCTAAAGGTAATGTCAGAATTTTATAACAGGCATCATACGTGTTATTGTATAACTATTTGCCACTGAATAAAAATATGGAGGGCTAAATTATTTTGGAAAGACCCTTATTCAGAAAATGATTGATTTTTAATTTCCTAAAAAAAAATAGCGCTCTTGAGACAAAAATAAAAATGCATCTAAACTAGAGAATAATTCCAGTTAGAATCAGTTTTTTAAAAATGTGTTTTGTATTCTTTTGGATGTATCTATATACTACTAAAACTCTCATTATGTTTATCTGTTTGTACCCTCAGGTTAGCCCAAATGGTGCATTATG